GTTTATTACACTTGCAATATGCAAAGTACATTTGGATGAAGTGAGGGATAATGAAGGTCTTGCCTCTCTACCTGTGAGACATTCAATCTTGTTGAGTTTTGCCTGAGAACTGTAATATCTGCATCAACAGTTACTGAGAAAAAAAACTTAGATGGGTATCAGAGGGGGAAGTATTTGAGCTGGTGTTGGAAGAGGAGTGGGGGCTCCTCAGGAGAAAAATGAGAGCACTCCAGGAAGAGAGGGGTTGAAGTGGGGAAATAACTGGCAGCTGGGATACCATTCGGGAGTCTTCAGAGTCATCTAGGCCAGGGCAGGGCACCCAGGCCTAGGAAACAATGTAGATGGAGGGCTTATTACGTATGACAGAATTTTCACATCATAAACTCCATGTAGTAGAGACTCTTAATATCCTCACACTGCAGAAGAAGAAACTGAGGCATGGTGTATGTCAGCAGTCCACAATCTTTTAGGTACCAGGAACCAGTGTTCCTATGAGAATCTAATGCCTGATGATCTGAGGTGGAGCTGATGCATTGATGCTAGCACTGGGGAGCGGCTGCAAATACAGATAAAACTTCACTCACTTGCCCACTGCTCACCTCCTGCTTTGAGGCCTGGTTCCTAACAGGCCACAGACAGATATTGGTCCACAGCCCAGGGGATGGGGTCCCCTAGTCTATGTGACTTACATGAGGAAATGGGGTTTGAACCCGGCATTCCAACTCACAGTGCATATTAGAAGAAATGATGGGGAAGATACTGACTTGAGAAGAAGAAGGGTCAGACCTGAGTGGGCAACTGACCATGAGGTTGAAAGGAAAATTTAAGATGATTAATGTTTCCGGCATAGGTGGCTGCAAGACCTGTGCTGTCATGGGGGCTGAGTGAGAGAAGCTGATGGAGACTTTGGACAGGTTGGATGTGGAGTTTTTGTAAGCTATCCAAATGCAGCAGGCCTGACACTAGGTTTGGTCCAATGATAGGAGGAAGAAGAGGAAGGGATGGTTGTTCAGAGGGATTCTCAGGCTTCCAACTTAAGTGATCAGTAGGGTTCTGCCCTCACACTGAGACTGCAGGAAGTGGGAAGGATTCAACTGTGCTGGAATCGAGCAGAGTGATAATGCAGGAAAAAGGCTGCAAACATTCACTCTATCCTTTTCTCCCTCCCATCTGTCTTTCCTAGCAAGAGGAAAGCTAACCCTACTTAAGTGGATCACATGTGGCCCACAAACCCCTCCTGTATCTGACCTTTCACTGAGTGTATTTGAAATCTCAGAAGTGGGAAACTTCTTAATCAATTTCATTAACTAGCAATTATCGAATCTTAAGACGACCCTTAGAACAAAACATTGTTCTAACTTGATTACAGAGATAATCCTAATATCTGCTATCCTCCTGCATTGGGTGGTGTTTTTGAAATTTAGTTCAAAGGAGGAAAGGAGATTCCCAGGGGCAAGGCTGGCCCAAATCAAGACTCTGTGGGATTTAGAAAAAGGCGTCCCTTGAGACTTTACTGCCATCTGCTGGAAAATAGTTGTATTAAATGAATTGACACTATCTATGATGGTAATTGTGCCTACATAGATATGGTGCCTTTGTGCTTTGTATAACCTACCCAATCTTATGTGTCAGCCTTCAATTCCCCTTGTTCCTGGGGCAACAGGGCTTGAAGGTGATGGTCTTCTCTCCCACTCTCTCATAGCCAGATCCGATGCCGGTTCTTCATGCAGAGGAATGGCCGCTGCCCCTTCAAGTCTGACTGTATTTACCTGCATCAGCTCCCGGATAAGGCCCCTGCCTCTGATCCTCCCTACCCTGAGAGTATGCAGCTGGCCTCTGGGAGTGAGGTGGTAACAGCAGGGATGTGGGGCAGGGGAGGCTGCTGATTATGGTTTATAACAAACATCTGTGATAAATGTCTATGACAGCTATGATGTTAATGGTGCCTACTTAACTGTGGCACCTTTGCGCGGTGTCCTACCTGTCCGACTTTATGCGTCAGCCCTGATTCCCTTGTTCCTGGAGCAACTAAGGTTGAAGCAGATAGTTTTTCATTGATTTCTTTCTCTACTCCCAGGTGCTGGGCCCAACAATGTTGCTAGGGGGCGCAGAGCTGGAGGACAAAGTGTTCACGGACTGTGTCCTGGGCATGGCCTTCTGGGGTGACTTAGAACTCCTGCTGGATCCCAACAGTTCTTATCACTGCCTCCTGTAACCAGGATCAACGTAGGGGGGTGGCGGGTGGGGCTGAGGGGCAGGGTTTGCTAGGTCTTTTCCCTTTTGGGGCTTGAAGGGGGATGAAAGTAGCTGCCCTCTACCTGCATGAATGTGGGGAATGTTGGAGGGCTCTGGGGAAGGGGAAGGGGAAGGGGAAAGGGTTCTCACCTTCTTGTTAGGGACTTAGATTTTAACTTTGCTCTTTTGTAGAAGGATTCTGAAAGAAAACCAATAAAATGCACCTAAGCCATCACTGCTGGTGTCTGAAGAATATCTGCTCACAGCTTGGGTGCCCCACCCCCACCCCCACCCCCACCAAAGGTTGATTCTACATTCGGTCTGTTACAGCATCACCCATCACTTAGCCTCTGGAAAACTTCACTTAATGCTCATAATAGAACATGTGGTAAGGGCAGATAACATCCTAGTATTATGAAAATAGTAATGACGTCACAGATCCCATAAAAGTGTGTTGAGGATCCCCCAGGTTTTTTGAATTATGCTTAGTACTTTCCTCCCTGCTTTCCGTCCCACTGGCTAGAATGTAGACCTTGGTGGGCATGAACTAGAATCACCAAAGTAAATCTGGAAGTTGAGGATGGGCAGGGCATTGAAGGCTGTACAGAATTCTTGGCTGTGCTCACTAATTGTCAGGGCCTGCCCATGCAACAATTGGCCATTTGAAGACCAAAACATCTCCTACAAAGTTAAAATTGCTCACCTGACATAGAGGTGCCTTCTTTCCTGCTACTTTGGCCTTTGTTAAGCAGGCATTATCTAAGAAATACTCCTTAGTATTTTCTAACAGCTTTCTTAAAATCATTTGGGAAAAACTAAAAATGTTGGCTCCAGTAGAAATCAGATCCAGCTCAAAATATTCCTATGGCTTCCCATACTATTCAGAGTGAAAGCCAAGATCTTCTCTATGACTTCAAGACCTCATAAGATCTGGTTATTTCTCTGACTTCATCTTCTATTATTCCTCAGTAAGTACAATCTGCTCCAGCCAAATTTCCGCCCCAGGGCCTTTGCATTTGCTGTTCTCTCTGCCTGAAGTAGTCTCCCCACAGACCTCTACCTGACCACCTATTTAAAATTACCCCTCCCTTCCCTGCTATATTCTTGAAAGCACTATCATAATCATTCTACTGTTTACTTATTTAGTTGTCTGTCTCTCCCCACATGAGTGTCGGTAACAATGAAGACAAGGGTCTTTGTTTTGTTCTCTGTATCCTCAGCCCCTGGTGCTCAGTAAAGATTTATCGAATGAATGGATGTATATGTGGCAGCAGGAGCTAGGAGGATGAGAAATACAAGCTGACGCTCAAAAGTAGGGTTTTAAGAGGTGCTGTGGATCTCTTCCCCCCTCTCCCGTTAGTCCTATTCTTTGCAGTGATCCCTTCTGAAAGAGTTTCTGGGATTCAATTCCAATGTGTGTGTGGAGGTTTCCCACACCAACAAGCAATTCTCAGATGACAGCAGGGTGTCTGAGAAGCCAACTCAATTCTGACACTATCTATCCAGAGAGAGAACCAGAGCCCACAGGTAAAGGGCTCAGTCCCACAAGACCGCCCTCCACTTCAGAGGACAGTCCAGCAAGCCCAGTGCTTCTGACCCACTAGTTTTACATCAGAGGGCCCCACGGCCCCTTCCTCGGTTTCGATTAGTTTGCTAGAATGGCTCACAGAACTCAAGAAAACCCATATACTTCCTAGATTACCAATTTATTACCAAGGATATTAAAAAATATGAATCAACAGCCAGGTAGACATATAAAGTCCCGAAAAAAGAAGCTTCTGTCTTTTGGGGCTTAGCAAGGTAGAAGTGTTCTAGTGGGAGCTCTCTGAAAAAGGCTAAGGAGCCTTTTTGGGGGTTTTAGGGAGGCTTCAGTAGGCAATCATGGCTGACTAAGTCATCAGACATTGGTGATTGATTCAACCTCAATCCCCACCCCCTTGGGTGTGGTCCAGAAGTCACCTTATTAACATAATAAGAGACACTATGTTGCTCTTGTCACATTTGAGGGGTTTGGGAGCTATAAGCCAGGAATGTTGATGAAGACCAAATACGTCTGACAAGTATATTTTGGTCATATGAATAACCAAACATATATACATATATTTATTATAAATCACGGTATTGTATCTCACCTTTCTTTGCTGGAAGTCTGCCTCCTCCAGCTTATTTTAACTGAAACCCTGGGAGGTGGAGCCACGCTGGCCCCTTAAAAACAACCAGAACAAGGCTGCTTCTTGGTCCTTGGGAAGAAGTTCACAACGTCTTTGGCCATATATATGGTGTTAGATTTTAATGCGACCCCATTCTCAGGGATATTTCTACATCAAATATTTCTGGAGAGGACTGAAACCCTAATAATGGCAGTTGATGGCCTATGAAAGAGGTGACATTACTATGGGGTGGTAAATTGTCATCAAATCCTATTACAAAGCCCATGATCTACAGTAACATGGGCGTCAGCTAAAATTAAATGTTTGGATCCTGAAGCACAACAGGATTCCTGACATCCACTCTGTACCCGCCGAGTCCTCTTACTTCAGAGAGCAGTGAGGGAAAGTAGGGACAGAAGCCAAGAAACCCGCCTCCATAAAGCCCTGCCCCACCCCCACCGTCTCTGGTCTGACCCCGCCCACAAACAAACCGCGTTCGTTGTGGCCCCGCCCCTTCCAGAGACACAAGCTCAGCATTTCCCCCGTCCACATTCGGTTCCTCTTATTCTCTGGCCAGAACCACTTCTGGCCCCGCCCCTTCCGGCCTGCTCTTGAGCGTGGCGTTACGTCCCGCCTCTCTCCTAGCGGTGCCTCATTCTTCCTTCCTTTTGTGACTCTGCGCGCGTTTTGTTGGCTGCGGGGCTGAGGTGGGAATGTGTAGGGCGCGGGAGGTTGCCCACTGCCGCGTCGGGGCGAGAGATGATGTCCTCCTTCCTTTCCTCAGGCCTGGGAGCTGAGGCCCGAAACGCGCGTCCGGGGCATGGCGTCCCCGGAGGCTGTAGCCGCTCAGACTGAGAGCGCAGAACGCGCGCCCTGGGCGCACTTGGAGGCCCCCGCGCGGCTCCTGCTGCAGGCGCTGCAGGCGGGGCCGGACGGGGCGCGGCGCGGCCTGGGGGTGCTGCGGACGCTGGGCAGCCGCGGCGGGGAGCCCTTCGGCTGGGACCGCCTCCTTGAGGCGCTGTGCCGGGAGGAGCCCGTAGTGGAAGGCCAGGACTGTCGCCTGCAGCTGTAAGTCGTCCGCCTCGCCTCTGGCGTAGCGCCGCATTTCATTCTCCACCTTCGTGTAAGACAGAGGCTGGCGCTACTCCCTTTTTCTAGAGTAGGAGACCAAGACGTGGAGAAGTTAATTCTCCCACAGCGAGGGCTCCCTGCCTCGCGCCCTGTGCGGAGGGACATCCAACAGACCTTCACTGAGTACTTAGTGTGCCTGCCAGTACCGTGTACACAGACGTAAGACACACCTTCGTTTGGGTATGAGTATAAGTCAGTGGACTCGAATCGATTTTGAATGCATATTCCACCTCTGAAAAGATCGAACTCGTATCTCTAGTATAGGCATACTTAGGTTTAAAATGTACGCGAGTTAAAATACATACATTATAAAGTATACACAAATTGAAATTTAAAATGAGATAAATGACAATAAACATCTGGTTGTAGGGGCTTTGTATTATAGGTTTTTCAAAGCGTAATACACGTTTTAAGGCAAAATCACTTTCCTTAAGGATAGTGTTCTTGGTCATTTCTAGTCTTTTGGATGATTTCGAACTTTTTTTCCCCTTTGCGTGGCTGACAAAGAATTCGTACTCGGAGCAGAAGTGTCAGCTCTGCCATTTTATTGTTATTTGGTAATACTGTATCCATAAATGCACTTAACTATCACAGTTAACTAAAATACACAGTAAAAAAAAAAGTGAGCGAGGTGCCTGCCACCTTCAGCCTCTAGGGCTATGAAGAGCGGGCCTTCCACTCTTGGATAACCGTACCTCAGAATTAGGCTGGAGACTAAAATGTATTAAAATCTATATACTAAAAATTTGTAATCATTTCTTGTGTTTTAGATAAGTAAAATAGAAGTGCTAATATTTCCACTCGACTTTGAATTTCTTTCAAAGAAATGGGTCAAGAGAACTTTCAAAACCCCACATTGGAGGCTATAGAAATGTTTTCCAGCTGTCTGGCTTTTTTCTCTCGACAGAGTAAGGGGAGAGGGGGACTTAACCTAGCGTCCCTGGGTAGAACTGTACTTCAGTATCATTGGTTGCTTTTTTAATTCTATGTATTTTATTTTATGCATTTAACCCTTTTTCTGATAAGGGTCCATACACACACAAAAAGCTAAAAGCCCTTGAAATAGGGTCTTCTCCATTTCTTCCAAATATTCTCTACCACAAATTGACCATTTTTTAAACTTTTACTCTAGTTTTCTATCTCACTTAGTGTTTGTTTTCCACAAAGAAAAGTTAGGTTTTCTCTGTCAGACGTCCCAAAGTGCCTTTGTGTGATGATGACCAACAGCTCTGCAAAGTCATGTATAGAGAGGAGCAGAGGCTTGTTGGGTGGTAGGCTAGGCTAGATGCACCCATGACTTGTCACCTCAACAAGCCTCAGGTCACACAGCATCTGGATTTGCGCCTTCGCAACATTACACATGGCTACATTGCTCTGTCCACAGGTATCTGGACACTTATTCTCAGAGTTAATTCATTTGATAAATGCATACCAAATGCCTGCTTGGGCTGTTGCTGTGCTGGGTACTGGTACACAGGAAGAAGACACTGTCTCTGCCTCTCAGTTACTCATTTTTTGGTGAAAGCAAATGACATGTCACCTTGTGAGTTCCAGGGGAATGCCAAGGGGAGCACAGGGCCACAGACAACATTGCACAGCATCTTGAAGTACTTTTACGTAGAGTTTGGGAAAGGACTTCTTTTTTATGTAAAATGAGCATAGGTTCCAGTGTGAATTTTCAAGTTGAAATCAATGTCACATAGGGCCCAGCATAGAATAAATGCTCAGTGAACACTTGTTGAATGACTATCATGTTGTCCCCCTCTCCATCCACACTGATTCGCAGATACTGCTGCCCAGACCCCCTGTCTGTCCATTGCCATTTAGCCTCTAGCTCAACCTAGTCTGCCCTGTGTTCCTTTCAGCAAGACTCTCTTAACTTCTTGTTCTCCCTCTGCTACCCAGGAAACCGCTGCTGTTGCGATTGCCAGGGTTATGCCAGAAGAACCTGATGTCCCTGTTGATGGCTCTTAGGTCATCGTTGCCTGAAAGCAGGCTCCTCCCTGTGCTTCAGATTGCAAGGGAGGACCCAAGCCCTGACCTTGATGCCTGGCTCCGGGCCCTAGGGGAGTTGCTGCGAAGAGATTTGGACATTGGGATCTCCACTGAGGGAGCGTTCCCACTGTCTAAAGGGTGCCAGAGACAGCTCCAAGACCTGTGTAGGCGGCTGGGCCCGGGGAACCGGGGGGTAAAGTTGCCCCCATCTCCAGATCCCAAAGAGGAAGAAGAAGAGAAGAACAAGGACTCCCAGCGGCCTGGGAAACGTAGAAAGGAGCCCGAGGAAGAGCCTGCTAGTCCTGAGGGGAAGAGGGCCCCCAAAAAGTTTCGGTGTTTGGAAAGGGAAGAAGAGGAAGGTCATGAGAAGGAGAGAGCTGAATGTGAATCTTTGGAATCCCTGGCAGATGAAGGAGGCGCATCACTCATTAAGAACCAGCTTGTGGGGGCTGAGCCCAGTGAGGCTGGTCAGAGTCTAGAGGATGCTAATGGCTCAGCTGAGAGTTTGGAGTTGCCCAAAGCTATCCAGGTACTAGGGTGAAGAGGCTGGGTTTAGAGTGATCCTTCAGGAGTGAAGGTTATTCTAGGGCTAAAAATGGTTGGGACACTTTCTGAATTGGGATGACTAGTCCATGGAGCAAGGAGAGGGACAGTGGGTTTGAGGGAGTATATTCTCTGCTTTATAGATTCTGGAGAAGGGGTGGTGAAGGGAGTTATTAGAGGTAGGAAACCCTTGGCCTAATGATCTATATGTGAGGGTAAAGGGTGTTAGGCAAGTGGAGAGGCTCCAGAGCCACCCCTTCCTATGGGGATGAGAAGAATCTTGCCAGCATCCATCCTGCCCTTCCAGTTGAAGGTGTGGGTCTGCCTCCGTTAGGTGGATGCAGGGAAAACAAGTCTAGACAGTTGAATTTGTATGGCCTGTGTCTCGTTTGCGTTCTTAAGCCCTTTTCAAAGTTTAGGCTTCATGTTCTTGACCCTCTTGAATCATCTTTGTCTACCAGCTCCCACTGACCTGGGGCCTTCTCAGGAGAGGGAGCTGGGACTGGGCTGTGACTGGGCTCTCCTCCGCAGGACCAGGTTCCAAGGCTGCAGCAGCTGCTCAGGACCTTCGGGAAGGTGACTGGCCCTACCCTGCTCACCATAGCTCTTTTTTCCACCTCTGCTTAGACTTTAGTCTTGCCCAGGGAAGCCCCAGTGCAGTGAGGCATAGGCTGTTGGAGTGAAGGGAGGGTGGGGTGAAGATCTGAGGACAATCATTGCAGGGCTTTTCTTGGCCCGAGTACAGATAATATCATCTAACCCCAGACAAGTTCCTCTCTGGTAACACCTTTAGGGACCTCAGCCACCTACGGTAGTCAAAGGGGTGGCCTCAGTGATGTGTCACCAAGTGCTCTGCCAGCCATAACATGGGATTGCCTTCCCAGAGGTTGGACGGGTTGGAAGACTCACCTCCAGTTGAGCTGCAGCTTCTCCATGAATGTAGCCCCAGCCAGGTGAGTCCAGAAAGACTGCCTGGCCCTGAGGATACATCCCCTCTCCCCAGCATTTTTCCATTTAACTTTGGGAATTTTGCCTCATGGGAATTTTGGGAGGGTTTTTTGGTGTCTTGTGGAGGGTTCACCCTGAGTAGTTTCTTTTAGTCCTTAACTCGCCCCAGTGGGGCGGTTTTCCTAGCCTTACCTTACCCTTGCCCTACCACTTATGCTGTCCAGTTGGCTTGAGACATCCTAGCAGAGACAGACTGTGTCCCTGTGTCTTCCTTTCTACTTGGCAGATGGACCTGCTGTGTGCCCAGCTGCAGCTCTCCCAGCTCTCGGACACAGGTCTCCTGCAGCTCTGCACCTGGCTGCTGTCCCTTTCACCGGATCTTAGCCTCAGCAATGCCACTGTGCTGGCCAGGAGCCTCTTTCTTAGACGAGTAGGTGCATTGGGATGCACTCAGACTGCCAGACACAATGTGGGGGAGAGTCTGAGCCCTCAGAAAGATGGTGCTTAGGAAGAGGGGGTTTCAAGCCTTGCAAGCCTCTGGCTTGTCCAGGCAAACTGGCAAGAGAAGGGCATGGTCCCCCAGGCCATCTACCCACATGGCATCTAATTTCTCTTTCTTGGGCCTCAGACCATTCCAGAAGTTGGAGGGATTTGAGATTTGGGAGCTGGGGAAGGGAGCTGTGTGTCTTCTGATGGATGAGTCCATGTGAGTCCTAGGTAAAATAACATTTTTTTCCCCCTTTGTAACATCTGTCACCACCTGAAATATGTGTCTGATAAACACTTTTTGAAGGGAAGAAGAAATGAAATATTTTTCTCCCCATTGCCTGTAGATTCTCTCCCTGACTTCCTCAGCCTCCCGCCTGCTCACAACTGCCCTAACTTCCTTCTGTGCCAAGTATACCTACCCTGTCTGCAGAGCCCTCCTTGGCCCCGTGCTCTGGGCCCCAGAAACAGGTAATTCTGGAAACAGCTTTCACCCCAGGGTGGCCCTGGTAGGAGTTGGGTATTCAACGAGTAAAACCTATTTATTTCCCTGATGATGCCGCCTATAATGAGTTCAGCATTCTGTTCTCTGCTAGCCCCTTCCTTTCCTCCCATTTCCCCCCAGACTTTGCCCCTCTGTTGTCCCCTACCCAGGTCCAGCTCAAACAGAGTTACTGTGTTGCCTTATGCAGGACGAGGCCCTGGAGCCAGACATGCAGGTTTTAATACTGGGGTGAGTATACAGGTCTCCATGTTGCCCTCACTCCCACCTTCTCCCCCTGGCCAAGCCTGCTCCTGGCATTCTGGAGCCAGATGGGCACCAGGCCCTGTACCCAGAAAACAGAAGGTGCCCCCTATCACAGCTGCCTGAACCTGGCTTGTGCCTTCATACCTGGGCCTATGCAAGTTGCCATCCCATGCACCTTCCAAAGTCCAGGGTTTTGTTCAGTCTTCTGTGCCAGGTGCCTTGGGGAATGCAGAGAAGAGGCTGGTGGTCCTGGCTCTTGAAACATGACACAGTGGTTAAGAGCACTGGCTCTTGAGTCATACAGACGTGGTTTCAAATCTCAACCTTGTCCTTTATTTAAATGGGTAATTCAAACAGGTTATTCCTTCTCTCTGAGCCTCTGCTTCCTCATATGAAAAATGGGGATAATATTCACTCTGTAGGATTTTTCTAGATATTAAATGTGATAATACGTATAAAGACCTGAGCATAGTATCTGGCACCTAGTAAATGCTCAAAAATTGTTATTAAATTGGTGTTAAATTTGGGTATTAAAATTGGAGAGTCAAGATACAGACATATAAATAATGAGTAAATAAGACTCCATTGGACACCAATGTGAAACAAAATGCTAAATATGATATGAAAAGGGGCCAGTCTCAAAAATAATATTGGTCACCATTTATTGAGCACTTTCTGTGCTTTAGATTTGTTATCTCATTCTTTATGCAATCCTGTGAGATGGGTGCTGCTTCTGCCTTAAAGGTGGGAAAACTGAAGCTGAGAGGTTAAGGGATGTGGCTTATACAGCAAGTGATAAAGCCTAGGATCAAACCCAAGTGTGTGCACCCAGGAAGCTACACTATGTCCATGTGACATGCTACCTTTCCAAACAAGCTGAGGACTGTCTAGTTAAACAGGAAGCATGGAGTAGAACTTACCATGAATTGGGCTCTGCAAGAAAGGCTTGCCTTCTCCAGGAAGCCTCATGTGTGTCATCTCATCTGTTATCATCCTCTTCCCTCACCTTTTGTACTCAGGATGTACTCGACTCCTGGTTATTTTTCAGGGGACCTTTGTACATCTCACTGCCAAATCCTTCATCATTCGCTCCTGGGGATCTCGGGTTGTGGCCTTCTCAGCACTGAGTGAGGGCTCTGTAGCAGTGGCTGCTGGGCGGCCACCAGCACCAGGGGGGCTCTAACTCCTTCATCTGTAGGCTAGGAATCTTGGCTGTCTCCAGGACCTTGCCTTCCCTTGGGCTAGGAGCAGTAGATACACAGGCTTAGATGGGAGGTGAGGCTTTACTTACCAGGGCTTATGCTTTGCAGACAGATCTTGGAGCTACCCTGGAAGGAGGAGACTTTCTTGGTGTTGCAGGCACTCCTAGAGCAGCAGGTGAGCAGGCTACCTTGGGGAAGAGTGGACAAAGAAGTGCTGCCATGCTGTGGACAGATGTGGGGCTCCTGGGTTTATGATCCCTTTGATGATGGCAGGGCAAGTAAGACAGCTGCCCTACAGCAGGGTGCCCTGTGACAGTGGCAGAGTCCTGGTGCTTGAAAGGCTGGTGACAGATAGCTGACTACATGGTAAATTCCATCTCCACCTCTTACTGGCTGTGTGACCTTGGGGAGGGACTTTCTGGTGTGTGTGTATAACTTTTATTTTTGAATAGGTAATAATTCATGTTAACAATTTTGGAAGCTCAAAAAGATATAGTGAAAAATACTCCCCCAGCCATCCAGATTCCCCTCCCCAGGGCTAATCAATGTTACTAATTTCAAGAGAACTCTCCTAGAGATGCTTTGTAGCTATAAGAACATATATTTAAATGTACTCTTTCTTCGCTTTTTACATAGATGTTAACACCAAGCCCAATGCTCTGTATTTTGCTTTTTTCACTTAATATATTTTGGCAATTTTTTCATATTAGTACCTAAAATTCTGCCTTACTTGTTTATAACTTAAGTATTGACCTGACCTCTTTATGTCTCAGTTTCCTCATCTACAAGAGGGGAACGATGATGACAGCACCTACCTCATAAGACTAGGGTGAGGTTTAAATGGAATAATGGTGTAAAGTGCTCAGAATGGTGTCTTATGCATAATAATGTTTATTAAGTTATTTTTATGAAGAGCAATTGTTACTATGCTGGCATTACCCCTTGGGAACCTCTTAACTCCTGTATATCTTCAACCACTAAGCCAAGCTAGGGATCCTTGGCCTCCTTTGGTCCTAATCTGAACCCTTACCACCATTTTCTGAGACTTTTGTGCCAGGCTTTATGTGCATTGTCTCGTTTAATCTTTTTCACAGTCTTCAGAGTTAGAAATTATGAGCCCCACTTTAGAGATGTGGAAACTGAGGCTTAGTGTAGTTAAGTGATCCTTCTACACAGGGTCACTTAGTTAGGAGGTAGTAGAACTGAGAATTGAATGCAGGGCCCTTTCTCGTGTTACTGTCCCACCTCTCAATGTGTGCAGGTGGAGATGACCCCCGAGAAGTTCAATGTGTTGATGGAGAAGCTCTGTAAGGAGGGGCTGACAGCCACCACGTCCATGGCCTATGCCAAGCTCATGCTGACGGTGATGACCAAATATCAGGCCAATGTGAGTGTTGATAGGTCCACAAGGGCTGGTCCTGATGCTCTGAAACTGCCATGAGGGCATACAGATGCTTACCAGGGAGAAAAACCCTGAATGTTAGCCTGGGAAACCACAAGTTCAAGCCCAGGACTAGAGGATGAAACTATGTAGGAGTTTGTCCATCCAGCCAACACCTCTGTGGGCCAAATGCTAAATGGGGCATTAGGGAATCAACAGTGACCATAATGCAGTCCCTGTCCTTGACTTGACCCTCTCCTAATGCTGGGCTAGTATGAAGGGAGAGAGATGATAAGTCATTGTAATATCTGGTAGGAGCCAGGTAAGAGGTGTGTACAGGGCTTTTGGTGGCAGAGGAAGAGGGGCAAGTAAACCTTGTGGTTGGGAATTGGGACAGGCTTCCTGACTTAAAGGGTGAGTGGTAGTCAAGGGCCAAAATGGAGCAGCGAATGTCCGAGGGGATCTACAGGTAGTTCATTGTAGCTGGGGCCTGAAAACATGAGAGTGAATGGTGGAAAGGGAAGAGGTTAGTGAGCTAAAGTACCAAGAGCTAATACTTACATAGCCCCTGCTACATCTCAGGCACTGTTCTACGTTTTTTACATAAGTTAACTCACATGTTAGCCCAATGAGAAGATTCTATTATGAGTTCTATTTTATAGATGAAGAAATCGAGACTCAGGTTAAAGTAACTTGCCCAAGGTCACATTGCCAGGCTATGGTAGCATCTTATGGAAGGCCCTGTAGGTTATGGTGAGGAGGTTGGACTTTGAAGGCCAGGTATT